AGGCTGAGGCTGGTGTGCGGCGGCGGCGGCGGCGAGCGGCACAGGCAGGGTGGGCTGGCTGGTCTGGCTGCGTCGCAAGCCGCGGGGCGGTTGGGCAGGCCGGCCCTCGAGGCCCAGGCCGAGGCTCAAGCTGGGGCTGCTGGGGCTGGAGACAGCAGGGCTTGGGGCCAGGCGGGCATCCGGGCTGACGCGGCGGCGAGAGAGCGATGGCGGGCGGGCGAGGGGGCGGGGGAGACAAGGAGCCAAGCGCTCGCGGCCCTCCTCTTTCCTTTGCTTCCTGCAACATACCAATCCGTCAAGGTGAGTGCCTGGTGGCCGGCCTCCAAACGCCCATCGTACACCGGCAGCACGATCGCACGCGCACACGCACACGCACATTGCAACGCAGCACACGGCGAGGCACAGCGCGACATGACACGACATCGACACCCGGCATCGCTCGACTCGACTTGCGATCTCGGATCGACTTGCGACATGGTATCTCTACCTGGCCAGCTGGAGTGCCGCAGAAGCGGCTCGAGATGAAGAGGCTCGTTTCGACCAGCAGAAGGCTCCGATTTGCCTCGACATCGGCCCCCTGCTGCGAGCACCTTGCGAAAAGCCCTTTGCAGTGGCGGCTAAAGGACTGGTGGAACGGGCTGCCTCAAACGCCGGCTAGGGATCGACGAAAGCAGGCCAGGGCCGACGACGGTGGACACGAGACGCCTGCAGACAATTGGAGTCGAGCAGGCGACAGAGGGGCAGCCGACGCATCGACCAGCTCTCGATTTGTTCGCGACCCCATCGACTCGGGGCGGAGACGGCCACTCGACTGGTCCAGCACCTCATCGACGCAGCATTGCGCTTGACGCTCGATCGCGGACCGTCGACGTCGAACGACCAGGCGCTCCCCCGCGTACAGGCAGCTCGGAGGGGGTCCTTCACACGACACAACCAGCCGCCTGCAGCTCGACCCGCTCGACACAGACACGACCGCGCTCGTCCAACCCGTCCTGCCCCGTGCGCCTTTCGCTGTGCTGTGCCGCGTCGTGCTGCCGGTGTGGCAACTGCCCCGCTCAACCACGGCCCTGTTGCTGATCGGACCGCTTCATCCCCATCTACCACTCCCGCGCCGTGCCCCGCCTGCAGATGCCGCCGAAGAAAGCTGCCATCGCCGCCGCGGCGTCCAAGTCGAGCAAGAAGAAGAAGTGGTCGAAGGGCAAGGTTAAGGACAAGGTGAGTGTCGAGGCCCGCCCCGCCCCGCCCCGCCCCGCCCGCCTTGCATGCCTGCACTGCCACGTTGCTCGCGATCCGATCCACTGACCTCCTTGCCCGCCCCGCCACTCTCGATCATGCTGGTCCCTCTTGCACAACAAACAGGCCCAGAACATGGTTGTCCTTGACCGACCCACGTACGACAGGATCCTCAAGGAGGTCCCGACGTTCAAGATGATCTCGCAGTCGACCCTCATTGACCGCATGAAGATCAACGGCTCCCTCGCCCGCGTCGCCATCCGCCACCTGGAGCGCGAGGGCCAGATCAAGAGGATCATCCACCACCACGGCCAGCTCGTGTACAGTGAGTGTCGCCTGCGAGCGCCGCGCGGACGCCTGCCCAGCACCGTCGTCGTCGATCCATCCCTTCCCTTTCCATCGCATCGCACCCATCCACCCACTGACGCAACGTCCCCGCTCTTCATCTTCTCCCATCTTCCTCTGCTCTCCCGCAGCCCGTGCCTCGGCCGAGTAAACGTCTCGTCTCCATCGACCGACCGTTTGCCCGTCCCGTCGCGCCCACACACACACACCTATGACCTGTTCGCATGCACACACACCCACGCACGCCCCTGTACACTTGCACACGCACCCGTGAATCCTCGTCCCCCTCCAAAATCCAAAAAGCAGGGTGGGAAAGAGAGAGCGAGAGCCGTTTGGCGCTACGCCGATGCTCGCCTTTCGATCCTCGTTAAACGCCACATTGCATTCTCGTCCCGGCCCCCCCCCCCCGCCGCCGCGCGCTCGCGACCGCGACGACGACGACGACCGACG